TCATTCTCACAGGCCAGATCTATGTAAAGACTTCTTTGGTTGGTATCAGGAAAAGATCATATTTTGTGGTAATATCGTCACCTGAAGTCAATATTTTACTACAGTGCAAAGGAAGTTTTTAACTGGAAAGAATAAAGCATTGTTTATGGTACTCTACTGCTCTTTTATTTATGGCAGGGGTGTCAAACTCTTCAGTGGAGAGGTCTGAATTATGTACTCGGAACTCAGGTATCAATTCAGGGCTTCTCACTTCCCCCGCTTCACACACTGCTTCCACCGCACAAACAGCCAGGCGCAACAGGATCTTTATCGAGCAACAGCTCTTTTAGAGGGAGAATGTGCCACAGCAGCACACCACAAGCATTTCATCTCCATCCCCTGCTCCCTCGTGGCCCACCCGGCAGCAAACGACTTCCTCCAGCACTGCGCTGGCTTCTTTCTGCTGCAGGGAAGCAGAAAGCTTAAGTGCGCAGCAGAAGTGCGAACTTCCCAGCGACACAGCCCTGCCAGCAGGCTTTTCTCCCCGGCCCTGACACGGGATGTGGGAGTAGTCTGGGAGGTGCAGAGAAGGTCAGCCCGAATTTGCCAAGGGCAGCAACCTGTGGGCAACACAGAGGGGAGGGCACCAACTGCAAGAGGGAAGAGTTTAATGGTATACCAAGATCTTTTTCTGCATGCACATGGCCTTCAGCATCATTGTAAATAATACTCTTAATAAAGAGCCAATTAGTCTAACAATCTCATTACTATCCAGCATGCAGTGTAGGAAGGACTACCCTACGGCATAACTGAGCAAAGGTGCATTCTCTGCTTCACATTTCCTGCTCTGATATATGTAGGCATAAGGAGGCCTAAATAGATATTCAAGAGACAAAAAGCATGGAGGGCTGAGAGGATGGCATGCAACCTTATAAAGAAGGTCCCGTGACCTGGCATTTTGTATCAAGGCCCGTTAACAAAACCCAGATCAACGCGCTGCAATAACCCCGCACACAAGCCCTGAGCACCGATTCCCTGGGCTGGCTCTGCCGTAGCTTCCCTGGTGCTGGGCTCGGCGCTGGGGCAGGGCTCTGCACGGGGCAGGGGGACTGTGGCATGGGGACGGCATAAGCTGAGAGTCAGCACCAGAGCTGGAGGCAGGACCACAGGCTTTCTGCAGAGCAGTGAGTGAGGATGTTGGAAGATGGCCTGTGCAGGGAAAGTGGGGGATGAGGGGAAATCTGGGCGTTGTGGGCGTCCGTGATTTCTTGAGAAAAGAGCACAGGACTGGAGATGCTTTACCAAAATCGTGCAAATGACATTTGCCCAGAGGCCATTCATGCTACACCTGGCTCATGCTAGTATGGAACTTCACAGAGAATTACTGCATGGGATCTAGTGACAATGCAGTAAGCCGTTAAACAAAACATCTTTGTCTTACATCTGTCCCTCAAACCTCGGGCTTCCATTTTCACTTCACAGAACTGAAGAAATATCACGCAGGCTGATTTTGGAATAGCTCTCATGTAAATCATCCCCTTGGGCTTGGGCCTCTCACACTGGGGTTCAGCCTGAATGGCTTTTTATAGCCGAGTTATAAACTTTTAAATGCCAGACTTAATCAGAGCTACTGAGATGGCCATTACAGGAGTGGTTTAAGTGGCATAGCCCTGATATATGATAGCACAGAAAGAAGGTAGGTGGTTCATCCGCGGTGGGCAGTCTATCTGGAAGGGAGCAGGGTCTGGTGGCTAGAAGCGAGCATGCCTGAGGCATAGATCTCTTGAGTTTTGCTCTTGCCCTTGTGCTACTGCTCGGTGACCTCGAGCATGTTCCCTTGGGCTGCACTGCCCTGAGCAGACAAGTCTCAGACCAAAACTTGACAGGAAAATGTGGCTCACCACGCCCTGGTTTCCCCAACATGCTAACGAGAATGCAAATATGTATCTGCCTCCCCTAGGGAAGTCACAAGAATTGTTGGTGAATTGGCCTACGGTTTAACATGGTGTGGTGCAGATTCAAAACATACAAATCCGAATGCTTCATTTATGGCTGACTTGGAGCAACTACCCACAAAATCATATTGAATAATTATAATCACAGACACATCAGACACCAAAGAATCTAAAAGCCTTTGGCCTTAAGCTTCTGGGGGACTAATGCCACTTTGCTCCTAACAGGAGGCTCTGCAAAACTCTGACCTCCCCCTAATTTTGCAAGTCGTGAGACATCCAGCAGGTTCCAGCTGTGAATCTGAAAGCCTCCCCCACTCTGCAACATCTTTGTGGTCTAAGCAGAACTGGACGGTCATCAACGTGAGAGCAGATGCTTGGACAGAGAAATTGATCTGAATGAAAACAGTACAGGAACTTTTCAGGGTCTTCTTTCTAAATTTATTCAAGTATTAAACAAACAGAAACTACAGCATGCATCAGATACTTTTCTTTATTGTACAACAAAACTATGGACTTGTTTGTAATTGCAGCATTTCCAGCAACATCAGGCAGACTTGTCGATGTTATCCAGTTTTGCACAGTCACTAGAGTGTCGCATCATGAATTATTAAATCAGTGCTTCGTGGTAATACATAATTTCTTATCAATTATTCATGCTAATGTGCGTGTAGTTTACTTAATTGTGTTATTGACGATCAAAAGTAATTTCCTGAAAATCCTCAAGGACAGAAAATTTAATCAGCGTAACTACTTTTCAGATGCAATGCTGTTAAGTATTCTTAATTTGCTCAACAATTCACTTATTTATGTACCTTTCTGGAGGAAATACGAGTTTAATCAAACAATTAGATTGAAGAGTTAGTGTACAGAAGGGCTGAAGTTCAACTGAATGCAAGGTAATTATGTTGAAATGAAGTTGGGCCTGCCTTTTTGGAGTGGAATTTTTTTTTTAGTCTTTTTTGGGGGGGAGTCCACAAAAAGATTATGATTGGGAAGATCACTAAGAAAACAGTGATTCTCTCTTCTCCAACCGCTCCCCACAACAAAGCACACAGCGATCTATTTTATTTTGGTAGAAGAAACATGTTGTTGCTGTTGTTTAAACTAAGCCATAATTTGCAGCCAGAGAAGCCACCTCCACCTACAGTTCAGCAGAGCAGCTCCTGAAGCTGTAACACAAAGACAGATCACAGACTACTGCATGTTCCCCCTGCAGTTAGGACAGTTCAGGATTGCCAAAAGAAACACACAGTATGGCAAAAGTAAAGCAAAATGACTCCATTTGATGAATGTAGGCCCTGTCAGACTTTTCTTTGTACTTGGATCCAAGGACAGACCCAGCACTGCCCTCCCCTATGGCTTGTGTCCAGAAGACACAAACCCCACCCTGGGGGAATGCCCAGCACCCCTCACCCCTGGAGCAATGAAGGTGTTTGGTGCTGCCAAGCCACCCCCTGAAGACGAGGGCTTCTACCCTTTGAACCGGCGCTGACACCAAGCCCTGCCTCGGGGAAAGGTGTGCACCGGCGGATACAGGAGGGTCCTGTGAGCCCCAGAGAAGTCCCAGGTTCTGTGAAATTCGTGGTATGAGATCACTTGGGTAGGGGAGAGAAATTTTTACTGCCAGCCTTACTTGGGACTGCCTTTCCAAGCACATCCCCAAGCTCAGATCCTGTGAGAAGCCAAACACAATCCAGTGTAAAAGTGTGTGCTCAACGCATTGAAGGAGATCCTCAGCACGATGCGCAGGATCAGAGCTGACAGGAATCCTTCCACTAGCCTCCACATTACTTGGTCAAGTCTCAGAGCGGTGGTTTCATCCTGTTCTCCAGGGACATCTGTGGACAAGCCTAAGGAGTCTGCAAAAGGCACCTGAGAAAAGCAAGTCCATGTCACTAAGTTTAAATCTGGATCTGCATTTCTCATGGAAAAAATGTGGGGCACCCCAGATTAAAATGCCTGCTCTAGAGCATCAGATCTTAGTCTGTTTTGCTCCGGGGAGTTTTGGGTCAGAGATAAGACTATATTTCCTGAGGCATCAATTTCTCCTTTGCACTGTGCCCACTCCATAATAATTAAGACATTTTCATATCTAGATTCATTACAAGAAGGCTTCAGTGAATGGAATAGTCTGGTTTTGGATGGCATAAAGGAATATCCTTCCAAGCTTTATTTCCTCTTTATTAAAAACAAAACAGGCAAGGACATATTTGCAGTGTTGCAATGTTTTCCAGTTTTTCTTTCCAAGAGAATGATGCTAAAGTACCCCCAGCTTTGTGCAGGTCTAGACACAACTGCACTCTGCATTAAATACCAGCATTACTGTTTGAAGCTATGAACGCTGCTCTGGAGTCATGTGTCTTTTATGTCTAACCCAGGGAATGGCAAGAGTAACAGACTAATGGTCACATAGAGACTAGTGCAAGGATTTTATTCACAGGTAAACTGTTCTCAGCAATTTCCCAGTAATCTACTCCATGGAAAGTTTCACTTTCGGGGAAAAGAAGGGAGAAGGAAAAAATTATGAAGAGTTTCATTTTGTTTTCTGCTTCTCTTACACCTGGCTTGCCTGGGATAGATTTGGTTGAAGTCAAATGCCATCAGAAAACAGCAGGCCAGACTGGTATATACCTGCATATTCCTTCACCTCTCCTGTGTGCGGTGGGATAAATGATGCCTGGATGCCTCTCCTGCTCCGGACCTCGCATCTGGAAGCGCTGCCCTTCTGCCAGCCCTCCATCTCTCACAGGATGGGGACCTGAGATGTGCGGGAGCAAGCCAGGATCCTGGGTGTTTCGGTGTCCCTGGGATGAGGAGGGGGGGCTAAAAACAGTTTCACGAACGTTCCAAACACAAATAGTGCTGATAAATCAGGGGAATGAACCTACAGCGGCGCAAGAAAAGCAAGGGTGCGTGAAAGGCAGCCAAAGAGGCCACTCAGATTTGCCGGGTCCCTGGTGGCCCCGTGACATCCTGCTGGGGCACGGCCACACTGCAGTTCACCCCGCGGCAGAGCCCCGGCAGCGGGTCCCTGCCCTGAGCCGAGGGGCCGGAGCCAGTCTGGCCTCATACGCTCTTCTCTCCTTCCATGTGCTCCTTGGCCGGAGAGGGCTGCTTGTCCTGGCTGTCCTCGGGGCCGGGTTTGGCAGGAGGAGTGGGGCTGCTGCTAGCGGCGGGCAGGAGGTTTGCAGACTGGAGCACAGCCTCCGAGTGCTCCCGGGCCTTCATGCGCAGCGCAGCCACGCTGGCGGTGCGGTTGCTTTGGCAGCCGTAGGTGGGCAGGAAGGAGAGGCCCATGGGGTCTGGAACACAGCACGAGCACAGCGGGCTCCCTGGGGAGGAAGGAGACAAGGCACCATCACTGATGGGGAAGGTCATGGGGACTGTCTGACTGTTCCCTCCACGGTCAATCTGGAGAGGGCAAAGATGGGCTTGGAGTCTCGAATGGCAACAACCCCCTCCCCTATTGACCTTTAGTGGGTACATAGATGTTCTCTGGATCAGGGCTAGAAAAGCCAGATCCTGTTCTGCTGAGGCCCACTGTGAAGGATCTTACGCTGTGAGTCATCCAGTGTGACAAACAGAGTGAGTGAGGGCAAGCAGACTCAGAAGCAAGCAGTGAAGTTTAGATCACACATGAGATTTCCCCATAAGCGAGGCTGAGCTCGTCCCCTGCTCTTATACCAAGCTGCTGCTCTGTGGCTACCATCAGCCCCCCGTTGGAAGTGTCCCCTGGCCTCCACCTGCACACTGAAGCCTGATCAATTTGGGCAGCTGCATTTGTTGGGTGAGTGTGGGGGTCCCATCACTTATCTACACCTGAAAGATTACTGCAGAGAGAAAGTTGAAAATATATATCCTGGTTATTATGCAGGAACTAATGACCTTCTCTTATCTCACTGTAAGATGAGACAGGCTTTTCCTTGACCAGGCCGCTGCCAACTATTGGCATCATGTCTACCTTCAGGAGTCTGTTCTATCTTCACCCACCCAATGTCCATGCTGCATAAGGATGACATCTCGAAGAGAACGGCCTCCAGAAGTAAGCCAAGGCCACTTAAAGCTGCTGCTGCTGACATGGTTTAAGAGTCCCATCAGGAGAGACAGGCCAGAACATCTCTATCCTGTCATCTGAGACACATGGGCTGTCCCAGGCAGGCAATAAAACACTGGAGAGAGGGTGAAATGGGTATTCCTTTCCCTTTAAGCCAAAAGGCTACCCTGCAACCCACTGCCAGAGGCAGTCCTCACTCCACCAGCTGCCTTCCTGAGCTGGACCACTGCAGGGTCTTCCTCTGGCTTATCTTTGATAACGTTGGAACTTGGGCCAGTTCCCAAACAAGCACACCTGGAAGTGTAGGCTGATCACTGGGCAGGACATGCCGTCCATGCAAAAAGCCACCCTGGTACCTAGCTTAGATGCACCTATTGAATGAAGGAGAATGTGTCAGAGGAGTAGGGAGGGGAGGCAAGGTGGGACGGCTGAGCTACTACTTTAATTTGCTCTCTTGTGAGAAACATTGAGTTTCACCATTTTTCCAGGGGTCTCAGAGGCCACACAAACTCCACATCCTCTTCTATGTCCATAGCAAAAGCCTGTCCTTTGCTGATACGCTACCTCCCAACAAGAAACAGCCCGGCCGCACACATTCTGACACGACGCAATGCCTTCCTCTGATCTTTCCAAGCCAAGGACTTGCTTTAATTTCTGCAGTTAATATTTGAGTTAAATGGCTCATGACTAAGTGATGGAACTAATAATCTGCAGGGAGCAGGTAGTCTTTCTTTTATACTTCTGCTCTCAGTAGCAACGGGTCAGCACCCATCTGCTAGGGATGAAGGCAGAGAGTTGTTTGTTTTTAGGATGTTGGCAAGACTTCTCCACAGCAATTGTCAGAGATTAGCAGCTTGCAGGTAATGTTCAGGAAAAAATACTCTTTGCATTTTAAAGAACACAACCTACAGGGGAGAAGTTATTAATGTAACTGGAAAGTCATCTTTTCTCTTGTAATACTCTTCTGATAGAGCATATGATCAGCAGACCAACATTTCCATGGGTCCAGGCATTCAAATGAATTGCACAAGCAAGTTTCAGCACTTGACTAAAATCTTCCATTTTTTGCTTTTAGCGGTAGGAAGCTCAATCTTGAATTCTGCGGCTGCTTTGAGCAGGTCAGAAGGAGGGTTTATAACAAAATCCACTCAGTAACACAACTTACAGTTTTTGCCACCACCAACCACGCTCATAAAGTCATTTTTTGCCCCATTGAATTGCAGCCACTTCAGGGGTGCTGGATGGCCACTGTTTTAACAAGAGGGAGGAGAGGAAGATCGGCACTTCAGAGTCCCTACAGTTTGCAGCAGGTCTTTGGCTGCAGAAGCCACACAGAAGTCTGGTTTTTCACTACTATTAAGCCCCACTACCTTAAGGTTCAGCTCTGAAATGGGGGACCATGGAGGCCTGCCTGAGCATCAGCTGTCTTTTCACTGCTGCTTTCTAACACAAACTGAGTGAGACTTTCGAACGTGGCTGTTCAGCTCCCGGGCTGAGGGGCGGGCTGGCCCGTCTGCGGTACCTAATGCAGGACCAAGCACAGACATTGTCTGCTTAGCAGGAGGTGGGGAGAAATGGAAAACAGTCTTTCCCTTTTCAAAAGAGCAGGAATCAGCTCCATCCCCTAAGAATAATTTTCATTCCATTGTTACAGAGGGATAAAATATTTATCAGTCTTCAGTACCAATCTAAGCTCTTTGCTTAATAATTAGACCTGATATTACCCAGTGGATCTGCAACCTGAGGGTGCAGAGTTACCTGTGGTGGAAACTAGGTTATCTCTAGCAAGAATTCACCCATAAACCATTCCTTTCATTTTCACTGAGGTTAAACACCTGAAAAAAATCTAAAGTAACAAGTGTCATTTGCTCCAGGATCCAGCTAGAATACAGGAGAGTAGGATTTAGCCCCATTTCTTTTTAATGTAAAAGAAAGGTTTAATGTTCTTTGCAATTGCCTGTGTCTGTGGGTAGTAAGTCCAGTGAAATCCATTGGACTTTGCTGGCACAAAAGCCAAGATGAACAATGGGGGAATCAGGAGCCCAAGGTCTCCACCTCCCCGTCAGTCAGCCCATGATGGACAGGGATCTGACTTTCACCAAGAAAGTGGCATCCACATAAAGCAGACATCAATGTTTCTTTACATCTTATTGCAGTAACCTTGAGTCCACAGTGGGGAAGGAAGGAATAGTTCCTACTTATTTTGGATCCTCAGGGGAGTTTAGGCACCTAGCTCCCATCAAAACCAGTGAGGGTTAAGCCGTTAGCCCTAGATCTTGATCCAGCTTCCACTAACATCTACAACAGTCTGATATTACTTTAGTGGGATTTGGATCAAGTTGCTACAATATGGACAGGGTACCATTTTCTTTCTTTCAGGAACTTACTGCCTCCTGTACACAAAATTAAAATACACAATTAGATTTCCATTAACTTACAGCAAATTCTGCTGAATTGATCTGAACCTCCTTGTACTCCTATATGAGATCATACTTTAAATGCTCAGCCTGAACATAAATACTTAATGTAATAAATACAGTCTGAAATATTTGATCCACTTGGCAGTTTAATTGATCTACTACAGAGACTGACAGGAAAAATTAAATTAGTTCTGTCTTGTCTCTGCCAACATCACATTTCAATTGTAACAATATTTGATCTACAGTTTTGGTTGCAGACCCTTTTGTGCAGTTCCAAGGTTCAGTTTCAGCTGAGAAGAGTGGGGTGGGAACGGGGCCCATATTGATACATAAGTATTTAAAATATATATTTTGTATTTCAACTCAACAGTTTAAAGAATTTAATAGATAGCCTTTCCAAAAGGCAAAACCCCAGTCCCCTTTCTCTTTCAGTATTTGTGCATATCAGCATTTGATGTGGACAGCTGAACAGCAGCCTGACATGGAAGGAAGTGAGGAAGAATTCCCATTTAAAATCCTCACTTGTCAATGCATGCTGTTTAGTTTTCAGAGAAAATATTATGCTTGATTTAAGTATTGTTTTCTTCTGATAGTAGTCACATTGGTTTGCTTGAGCTCTAAATCCTCATAAAATCTGAAATCACTTTCACAAGGGTTGGAAGGTCAACAACAACCTTGAGTTCATAGTATCATTTACCCGTAAGAGCTGATTCAAAGGGAGCTCCCTCTTGCTCTTCATACATGACGCCAACACTGTGTCTGTTAAAGCCTGAGGCACAAGCAGGAAGAACAGAAGTGGCTTTATCCAAACCTTCTTGGGCTCTGAATCAGAAGGTTCAGAAGAACAAGAAAGGCAAGAACTTAAAGCCTGAAACAGAGAGGCACCAGATGCTCCCAGCAGCTCAAGGCTGCTAAAGTTGTGCTAGATGGTTCCTCCTTCTAGTGCCTAAGCTGGTTAAGTGTGGAAGGCACCCTGTGCTGCCCAGAGGCTGGAAGAGCACTTCAGAGCTGACAGCAGAGTCCAAATGTTATAATTTCGTATCTCCTTGGCTTGTGAACCCTATATGCCCAATGCAAACAACAAAGAGCTGATGATCTGGCCCAGTTGCTCTAGCAGGAGCCTTTTTTGGTAAATAACTTGACACTGGAACTGGAGGATTTCATCCTCCTTTATTTGTGCCATTAGTACTGTTCCAAAAAAATAATTCAGAAGCCAGGACCTTGCCTGTTTGGACAGGAAAGCTGGCAGCAAAGCCCACAAGAGCTGGGAGAACAGAACCAGTCCTTTGAATACTGTCAGCTCAGCAACCATTTACCACTCTTCCCTTCCAGATCAAAAACATGATCTGACCCTAAGTCCTGCTGACATGTGTCACTCCAAGAGGAGTCAATAGAAACCCCTGCCCAGCTAAGGTCCACTAACATAATCAAGATTTGTCCTGGAGGAACAAGCCAGCACCCATTTCCTTCCCATGGCTCTTAGGGCTCCTAGTATCTGCATATTCCCTAATATTTGTGATAAAGACCAAAAAAATCTACTTGCGAGGTAGGGCAGTGCTAGAGTTGGGGACCTGTGGTACGGGAATCAAAGTAATTTGCTCAAGGTCTGTGCATCTGCAGCAAATTAAAGAAATGTTTTAAATTCTCTAAAGTCACAGTGGCAGGTAAACTAGGGAAAATGCCAAACAGAACCCACTTGATATATTTGCTATATTACATGAGAAAAGTCAGTAAGTCCAAAATAAAGAATGACAGAGAAAATAAAGGACCCCAAGAGTTTTGATTCCCGTTCCCCAGTCTCATGGTAAGCAGTGGTGCTCCAATTCAGTAAACACCAGTTCAAGGGTAAGTTAGGTCC